AAACACTACTGAGGCTGCTTTGCTTCCCTTCAGAAAATCTACATTTTAACCAACTTACATGACATTCTATGTTATGTTGACTTTATCACATGAAAGTTTATAGTGCATTTCATCAATTAATAAATAAATGTGAAAATCGTAATTTTCAACACAAATAATAGTCTCGCTACCTTAAGTAAGTTGTTTAGTCTCCTAGCAACAGGTGATTAATGTGCCTTTTTATGTACTGGTATTTTTTGTTAGGAAGTTAAGAACAAGGCTTCATCAAACTGATTAAAATAAGATCTTAGTTCGAAGTCATTAGTTAATAGAATAAAAAAAATGTCTTATTTTATTCAGATTGAATGCTTCATATATATTTTTGTGGTAATAAAAAAATTATTTCTTTTTTAATGAATCATTTCTTTCTGTTCAATGATATACCTATCTTGCCCCTCCTCAAAGAAAAAACATGTAGCATGCAACCTGATATCCTGTGTTTCCTAGCTTGAATGTAAGCGTTTCTAAGCCCTACTCGAGGTTACCTTTTATAAAGCAAAGCAAGTCAGCAAAGGTAAGTTTATTCTTATAAATATGCTCGTAACGATTTATAAACCAAACATTTAAAATCTATCTCATTCAAATCCAAATGAGACGATTGGCTAGGAGGGGGCCTCGCTCTATTATACAACGTGGCAGAATGTCTGTCACTGACGAGCCTTTAAGTTTCTAGGTCAATATTGAAATAATCAGTATCATTATAAATGTTATAAAAGTCCAAATGTATTAGTTCTTAGGCAGTTTACTCAAGCATATGGCGATTTGCTCCAATTTGTTTTTTGGAGGAAGTAAATATTAATTTTGAAATAGCAATACACACGTGATCTTGCGAAAATGAACCAGTTAACCTTTCAGGCAGCATGCACAATGAAAAACGTTTGGCAGTTTTTGACGTTACACAGGTACCAGGGTAATACACAAGTTCATATAATATAAATCAATTATATTATTCACACTCCAGGAAGAGATAAATCTGGTCACTTAAACCAAAACGTCAACAATAATGGACAATTTCAAGAAAACAGAATTCAATGTATTCATCACCTTACACAAACCCCAAACCCATATTTTTTCAAAAATGTTGATGTGTAGCCAAATAGAAAATCAAGTCCCATTTGGTCCAAAATTAGTAAAAATATACGGGTATAAAAACTGGTCAAATATTGCATCAAAATTACAAAGCTGCATATAAAAAATGGAATGAAATGTGGCTGTTGGTAATAGGCATAACAAAATAAATCAAGCTCACTGTGAAGACAAAAAGTGTGAAGTCGCATACATGACCATGAGTTGATCAATTGCCAGTCCAGAAAATACAATAATGTTTTACATGTATCAGTCCTGGATGCTAACGGCCATGGTGACAAACTGTTCAGTAATTACGATTTGTTATTTACGCATTATGGGTTATCTGTATAGTGAGGTTTTGCTGACTACCCTGGTAATGAATGACTGCAAACCAAACGTATTTCCAATAGCAGAAATCGTTTTTATCAAACCATGACCATTACCTATTCATAAATGCAAATACCCAGAATTTATTCATTTTGAAATTGTACTCCCAGGCAATATTTGGATATTGACTTAAAACAATTTTGTCAGTATTATAACGCTTTTACCATAGGCTGGTGACATCATAGGTTCTTTGTTTACCTGAATTATTTCAAAAATCTGTGTTTTAAAGTGTCAAAAAGGAGGTTCTCTTCCATTCTATGGAATTGTTCTGTAATAAGAACAAGTTTCTTAAAATACGTCATTGTAACACAAAAATTTCATTGCGCCATAAAATAAACATTGTCATGTGATTTTTCTAGAAAAAATGTGACCTTAATTTGCGCTCCAAGTCTCGCTTTCAGGCCCACAGAACAAATATGTACGTCAATGTGAAAGCGAGCTGGGAATGCAAATAATCGACAATGTCCGTGGCATGGTAAAAGCGAGGTGAATTGCTGAAGGGCTTATACATACTAAAGGATGAGCCAAATGTTTAAAGGGCGGTAGTCGTCGCGCTGCGCATGTGCAACATTTGTGTTGATGAACATTAGTTTTCCCACAATTCAATGCGCTTTTCTAAAAGAAATAAAGTATGAGGTTTGACCTGGGCGCGACTTGCACTTACCACCGCCGGTGACTCCTTCGATACACCCAATCACCTGAAAATTACCCAATTAAAGCTTGGAAACGTCTTAGTTCGTACTTGTTGATCTGCGCAACAGCCAAAGTCGCCATCTTTGTTTATATGAGACCCATATATCTCGCCCATGCGTGGCGCGACGACTACCGCCCTTTAACTGGTCAAATCAAATTAATGATTTTGTCATCAATTTAAAATAAAAATGTAAGCACAAAAATGTATTATTTATGTTGTTCATTAACATTAATTACAAATACAAGCTTTGAATAATTTATTTTCACAGTGTTACGGGTACCAGATTGTTGTTTTATTTGTACCGTATTTGCTACTAAAAAGTGGCGTTTCGAATCACTCTCGCGTAATAAGTTTCCATCCCAAAGTTTTCGTGATGTTCCTTTTCGGCGTTTTACACTATATGTGGTGATAATATTGAAATATACATATCTGCGGATCGCCCATAATTTAAATTGATGGTGTTCCAGCAATTTTTGACGAATAATGCATTTTAAATGGAAAAAAAAGTATCTCAAGACTTCGTTCTTCCACCTAGTACTGTATTGGTGATTACAGTATTTGTTTCCCTGTGTCTTTAAACACCTTTTCCACATTTTTTTAAATATTGTGCAGATAAATGATAAAAAAAGTGTTGAAAAGTGCAAAACTTCGCAGAAAAATTAACACAACTAAAAAAGGTGAGTAGTGAGTCGCGAGCCCACAGATTACCTGAAGTAGGGAATATACCAACAAGAAACGGGCAATTGATGTCAACAAACACCAGAATTCTTTATAGAACTCAGAAATTTTTAGTAAAAAAATAAATAATTTTAACCTTTTATTGTTTTGTTTGTTTGATTCTATTCTATACTATTGACGAAATAAGTTGTATGAGACGAAACTGGTCATTACCTCAGCTGAAATATTTTCACTGCTAGAAGTATTCTTGTCTTGTTTTGTCTGATTGTTATCCCCAACAGTCACATAAAAAATATCTTATAATAAATACTAATCACTAAAAAAAAATAATAGATTTTTTTAAAATGAGTTAAAAAATGGACGGCTAACAAAAATCTTACTCGAGTCACGGTTACTAGGAACCGTACTTGAGTAAAGTACGTAGGTATTTGAGTAAAGATTGTACGAACACATAAATGCCCGTGTTCGATGACATCATCGTATCGTACGAGATTTTGTGTATATGCCCTGGAAACTGCTCCGACCAAAATCTGAGAAAGTTTAACCTTTTCCGGGAGAACGTGCTGGACGTTATTTATTTAAAACAAGGTAAGGATATATACTTTCTACAATACTCACCAAATTTCTCGATTTCTTGCTAATAATGATACGTTCAGCACATTGAAATCGGTCGACTGCCACTGGACTGCCACCGGTAACGATAGTCGATAGACCGTGTTCCAAAGAATACATTTACTATTTTATATACGGGTATATTATAACGCAACTATCTGAATCTAAGTCACCGAGACTGATAAATAAATTAAAAACTAGACAATCTGCTGGAGAAGATAGCATAACAAATGCAATGTTGAACCATAAAATGATTTTCAATCAGTGAATAAAATTATTCAATCAAATTTCACCGTGACAATTTCGTGACAACTACACCATTGTAGCCGTGTGTACATGTCTGTAGTCCCGGCTTATACACCACCATACACACTGGTGTGCGTGTGTACACAGGGGCTGTTATGGATACACACAGGGGTGTTTGTGTAAAGTAAAGTAAAGTAAACTTTATTGACATTGCACCCTCTTTAGGGTATTAAATTGATTACAATAAAGTAAATATGTTTTAGAAAAAAACATAAAACAATTAAAAATAAATGATCAGATAAACGAAAGTAAAATACAGTAATTACTAAAATAGCTAGATAATAAATACAAAAAAAATTACTACTAGTTATATACCCTATATATAAAATATGTTTTCGAAATGCAGTCCCTCATCCCCTTGGCTATTTTTGACGATTTTTTGTCGCCGGAGCGATTCACGTCCCAAATTTTGGTTCTCCGAGCGTCTCTAATAAGTACCCTATCTAACCACTGGGCTGAATTAGCTAAATTATGAAAAATTCATAGAAGATTGGGCGAAAATCGGTCGTTTTTAGCCTCAACGTTTTTTTGCTCGGAAACGCAAGGGCGATAAGACTTGATTTTTAAGAACGCAGGTCGCTTGGATCAGATGGTTTCTATTGTTTCAAGTCTGTTGTGTGTCTAGAAAAATAACAACTTTGTTTTTTGGTGAATATAGAACATGCTCTGTTGCAATATAGGATTTTTATATGCAAATCGAACAATATTAATAGTTCTTTATTGTAACGTCTCCCATATAAATAGTCCTCTACTCCCCAGAATTTGACAATGGTACTAGCCCAGAATTGACTTTCTGTTCAGCGCGTCTTTGATTGTAGCAATGTTTACGCCACTGTACGAAAATACGCACACTCATGAATTTGACAATATTCACTTGAGCATTTTAGGATAGTGGGAATAGATGGAAATGCCAGTTACGTCACTCATGAAGATTGATGGTTCGATTGCTGGCCAGGATAGATGTATTTAGTGTTAATTTCTATGCAATATGTCTACACTCGCGATTCTCAATATCGATGTGTAAAATCATATCGCTGCTGTGGACGGCGACAGCTGACATATTGTTTTGGTTCTGCGGGTCTCTTGGCATGGGCAACTGATTTTTAGGTTTCTGTTTTTTTTTAATATTCTGACGTTTACTTGGTCGTATTTTGTATATACCACTCAGACGCTGACAACAAGTGAGTAAACGGGCCGGGACATAGTCAACATGGGACTCTGAAGGCCCCGGAGAAAGCGTCATCTTACAAGATTAATGAACGAAATTTACAATCTCATGATTTGGAACAATCTGATATTTATGCTGGATAACAAAGTATACAAGTACTGTCTACAATATACTGCATAATGGAAATAACATACCTATCTAACCGCTGTTGATTTTTGTACAAAATTCCAAAAACACAAAACAAACAAATGACAACAATCGACAAAACAAAAACACTACACAGTCACTGTAGCCACACCAGTAAGAAAAAGATACTGTGGAAATCATTGAAATTGTAAATACAAAATAAATGTCAGTGAATACAATATTTATTTATTTGCAGCCTCCATGGACAAGTTCACAGCCTCTAATATTGCAAAACCGTTAGTTGTGAACTGAACTTTAAAGCTCATCAGGATTTCCACATGGAGTTACACAGATAGAAAAAAATGCAATATTAAGGCAAGAAAAAATAATGTTTTTTTGTCAAGGCTATATCCTAATTTCTCTTATTTTGGGGTATTTTTTGTGAGTGTACATGTATGCATTAAAATTATCGTAACTTCAAATGTAATCGTAGTACAAATGTAAAGTAAACAAAATTAATGAGTGATTTTGGATTTGTTGGAAAAGTAGCCGAAATGCTGTGACATGGTCTAATTGGTGGTGGGAATTGCCAAGCCAGTTTATAAAACAAGCCAGTAGGCTGGTTGGCGATCATGTTTTCGGCTGTTGCCATGGTAGGACATGAACGTGAAGCTAACGTCGGTCTATAACTAAAACCGGGCCCCGTATACGAAGTTCGCAAAAAAACGTTCAGTCTTTAGAAGTCACTTTATTTTATTGCTAGGACGTATTCTGCTGTTAAATTTATTATTTCCAACAGTTTTTCGATAATATTTTCTAGATTGAAGGCAGCATTTACAGTTCATTTATAGTTCAGTTCAAAGTTGCATTAGGATTACGTTGATGTTGGCGCCGGTGATCTCTTACCAGTGTGCAACGTAGCCCAAATAAAAAAAAAACATGATTGTATTAAATAACACTGCTATTACAAGACTGGTGGAAGGTAATAATTTTAGTATAAGTATTAAAAAATCAGTTGTTGGTTGTTGCCATGGCAGTGGTGAACGAGAATTTTTTTTCAATTAGTGACAGTACGACCTGCCTGTCAAGTATGAACAAAATCAGCAAAGCCAAAAAAAACACAGAGCAGTTAAAAGCCGCTGGTGAAAAGTTACCCCAACTTTGAGGCCAAGTTTCTCGGTAATGAAAATAGACATAAAACAACCAGTAAATGTATTAAAAAAAAAACAAAAACATTTTTTTTTTTGCTGTTGCCATGGAAACGGTGGGCCAGAATTTGTTTACAGATTTTACAACCTATTAACTAGAGTGAAGGTGTGACTTGCCTGCCAAGTTTGAACCAAAAAACTCACAGAAGAGTCAAATTTCTCAGTAATGAAAAAAGATTCAAAAATTCAAATAGTAACTTTGTGCCCACACAAGCTGAGTAGAATGAGCTACGTCTGAATAGTTTTATCCTAAATTTGTAGGAGGAGATACATTTGGCACAAAGCTATGCAAAACAGTTTGTTGGCTGTTACTATGGTAACGGTGGACCAATTTTTTTTTCTTCAGATTTTACCTAATAACTAGGGTGATGGTGTGACCTGCCTGCCAAGTTTGAGGGAAAATAGGTCAAGTCAAAAAATCACAGAAGAATTAATATGTGAAAACACTGGAAATCACACACACAGATACACAAAATTGATTTTAAGGGCAATCCTAGCCGGGCAGATCGTCAATAGTGAACAAAAATGTTTGTAAATATTACTGACCGCAAAAGACGCTCATCGCGAAGTGGCTTGTATCAGAAATAAATATGTATAATGTAAATATTATGAGGCAGTGTGTAGGGTGGCGTAGCGACCGGGTCGGAGCAGTCATGTTTGCACAGCTAGAACAATTGTTTCCTCTTACTGGTAATAAAAGGGTGGCAAAAGTAATCCCGATAATTACAGTGTTGGCATTTACAAGTTTACATGTATTAAAGTCCAGTTTGTTCTATTATTACATGTATAACATGGTTATTTTGAATCTAGCCATCTGATTGGCTGTGATCATTATACTGAAAATCAGGGTATTATATTTTCAGATTTATCACACTATTAGGTATTTTAAAAAAAATCATTGGGCACCCCTTACGATATAAGTATAGTCCAAGAAAAGAGTCAGATAATTGTTATAAATTTAGCATATTTAAATTAGCATAAATTAGCATTTGTTCTTTTAGAAAACTAAGTTGAGAACACTTTGTAAAAAGTCATTATCACAGTTAATACCCTAGGGATTTACCTTAATGACTGGAATGCTTGTAAAACTGATGTTTGTCACCAAAAATATATTGATTTTCGCTAATTCCATCAACTCTGTCTTGACACAGACTGGAGATGTACAGACATAAATTATGTTGTTTAGAAAGGTTCCATTGTAAATGAATCCAGTTGCTGGCACAACTCTTTGAACCAGAGTTTCAGAATATGTACACAAATTAACTCATCCTGACGGTAGATTATGTCAAGAGTCAAAATCATCAAAAAATGCTCCAAACCAAAACCATAAAATTCATGGCTTAATTTCTAGTGTCTTTGGTTTGACCATGTTCACACGTGTGTCATTTACATAAGCACATGCGTCCTTATTTCTTTATTTTAGTACATTCAATAATAACTTTAATAATAATAATAATATGTTTCCTGGAAACATTTGGATTTTCCAATATTTTGCATATTGCATAGAATTTAAAGCTGTACCCAATATAGCCTGGACTCACTCCTGTAGAAAGTATGCACACTATTACGTACTTTGTGAAAGTCATACTGTATCAAACATCCTTTAAATAAACATTTACCTCCTTTGTTGAAATATAAACAAGAGTTGGCAGAGTCATCTTGATGCTGGTTTACTACCCGTAGATGAATGGGTTATATACTACATGTAGGCATATGGTTATACACTGGTGGTTTACATAGACTAGCAAGTTAAATGAATTAAATGTATGGGATAGGAGAACATGGACACTGAATGAATAGGACTTTAAAATTGAACCATACATTTATTTTCAAACAGTGATATTATTCTGTAACATCAGTGTTTCTATAAGCATACAACTCCTCACTTATATGAATTCATTTTATACAAAGATTTTTTGCAAAATTATGTTTTCAAAACACTAAAATAATAGCACATTGAGTAATCAAGTGTGGCTATATATAGATGTAAAAAATACAGACTATGATGTTTGTGATGCGTTACTTCCGCATATGTCGTTTGATTCGATGGGTCAAATATGCCATTAACCAATCAGAATGCCACTTGATATTGCCGATAAAACTCAACATTTTCTGAATGATAGTGAACTGTTCTGTTGGCATATATTTTAGTGGAAAACTACACAATGGTTTTCGGAAGAGGTGATTAGCATGTTTTAAAAGGTAAAAGTGTTGAAAGAAGAGTTTTGTCATCATTCATGATGATACATGTAGCAATCACGCAATAAACACTTTGTTTTTCCTTGAAGTAGCATAAACAGATTTTGATCACTGCTTTGACCATGATGTATCAGAATGGCAGTACAGATTTTAACAACATTTTAGCTATCAATTTAAAGACCTTAGTGTATCATCAGAAAATGTTTACTTGCAAACAGGGAAATGCTAATTTTACAAAATCGACAAGTGTATTGTTTATAAAAGCCGCTACCACATCGTCCATAATTACTGTATAATAACAATAGAATGCTTGTCCTGGTCGAAACATTTCTGTGGTGGTCACTAATTTTGAGTGCCAGTCGGGGCTGAGCACAGCAAATCAGCGTAGTAAGATCAAGTAAGCACAGATTTACTATGCTTTGCTGTCATGGTACTTGGCTGCTATGGTACATGTACTTGGCTGCTATGGTATAACCAATGAATCCCCAAAGTAAATTGTATTTTAAGATATTATTATTCTGCTTTCAAGTTAATTCTAATTTATAGTTTTATTTGTATTTTGTTAAAGATATAATCATGAAAAAAACTGGTAATGTACATGGCTTAGATTTGGCTTTGGTCATAAAAGAACTCAATGAGTGCCATCCAGAGAAGGATACAATCCTCTTAGACCATTACATCAACACATTTACAGAATTTGCCAGGTATGTGTCAAACATTACATCAACACATTTACAGAATTTTGCCAAGTACGATGTATGTATCAAATAGTACGTCAACACATTTACAGAATTTGCCAGGTATGTGTCAAATAAGTGCAGTGCGCGAATTGAGTCCAACACACACACAAAATGCAAAGGCTCATGAGTAGGCGCTTGTTTGTAAACAACAACACGGTATGGCCATCTGTCGCATGCGCATGGATGACTCCTCTCGCAATAAGCTTGCATGTTTCAACTTTTGGGCTTAGTCACCTGTACATCATCACAACTTCTTGTCGACATCTTGCTGGAGTCTGGAAACCACCACAGACAAAGGCCGGAGTTGTGTACTTCCTCATCAGCGTCATTCCATATTTTCATCATCTCCAACTCTCTTTTATCATATACCGATAACAACACATGACTGCCGTCCGAGTCCCTGGTACAACATGTGAAATCAGGCAAATAGATTCTCAAATCTTCACTATAGTCAATTTTGGCCTGTTTTGTTTCAGTAATAACAGTAACATTGTTGCGACATTACAAACACACACAGCGACTAAGCCCAAAAGTTGAAAAAAGCAAGCTTATTGCAGAAAGGAAGATGATATGTGGATGTTTGAACAATAACAACAATCTACATTGCCGTAACCTGAAGTTATGTTAACTTTTAATTAAAATTCTGAATGTGGACAGTAAACAACAACAAATTCTATGTTGTCCATAACTCAAACTATGGTTAACTTTTAATTAAATTTTGAGCTACAAACTCAAAGTTTGAATAATAACTTTTAATTAAAGTTTGAGTTACTGAATGTAGACGTTCAACAAAAACCAAAATGTACAAAATGCCTGTAACTCGAAGTTCTGTTAACTGTTAATTGAACTTTGAGTTACAATTTGGGCTTTGTTTCACAAAAATGGGTGTGGTCTCAAAAATATGTGCGTGGTCATTTTTGTAACTCAATGTTTTCGTAACTCAATGTTTGTAATTTGATGTCCATAATTCAAACAATTGAGCATCTCGACTGATGACCATGTTTTATTTTCATACTTAGACTCATTAACATACTGAATACTTCTGCAACATTTTATTATAATGTACATCTGTCATTGTTTTTAATTGACACAGTAACTAAAAACTGGACATTGACAATGACTTGTTTAACAATGTTTCTAGTTACTCCACCCATACTGTCATTGTTTGGTTTAGACAGGTTTCTGGTTATTCCAACTATAATATCCATCTATTGTGAAAAAAATTTACTACAGTATACAAACTGTACTACACAATGCAGCAGGTCTGATAATTTAATTAAATTTAATTGTGGTTTACACAAAAAAGAAAACTTATTTACACAACAGTTACACTATTTGTATTATTTTTAAATTCAGTTTACCTGAGTAGACTGTTGAGATATACTGGTTCAGTTCTAATGTATTTATTCTGTAGGTTTTTTGATGCTATGGGTAAACTCTTCAGCTTTGTATCAAAGGATGTCCATGAGAAAGTTGGTATTCTAGCAAAACATCGACAATCATCACACGGAGAAAAATTCAAAACTATGCAGTCTATGATGGAGTATGAAATCAAGAATGACTTAACCACCAGTAAGTCAGCTGAGGGCCTTCTATCTGGATCCAGGACCGTGCTTCGTCTGCATCGAGCGCTCGCTTTCATCATAGGAATGTTACGCAAGGTTGATGGTGGTAGTGATCACGATAAAGTCTCCACTTTGGCAGGAGAAGCTTATAATGATAGTCTTGCTCACTTCCACCCATGGCTCGTCAGGAAAGCAGTGGGTTTTGCCCTTTACACGTTACCCACTCGAAAACATTTTATGGAAAATTCATTCAAGGAGTCGCCTGAAGAAGCCCATAAGATTTTACCAGACCTCTTACAGATTTCAGACACAGTCTATGATGAGGTTGAGCAACTGTACACAAAGCATGATTTATTAATGTTACCTTAGTCAATGCAATCTTACATACAAGATTGTACCTGATTGGCTACCAAACCCTAACAGTTAGACCAATCAGAGAGCAGCTTGTTTGTGGACAGGTGTTTTCAAAGTATAAAATTCTGCCTTGTATAATTGCTCAACAGAATTAAGGTATAATCTGATACCTGCCTTCAGTCTTCACCTTCAGTCTATCTCTGCAACTCACCAATTGTATATATAAAATAGGTTTTTGTTTACTTTTATGGTATATAACATTTAAAGTGCATTAAACAAAATGCAACAAATTGCTTATCTACCATACAAGTACAGTGAATTTCATAAAGACATGAATGTTTATTTTATAACATATCTATGAATGCTTATATATTTTAAATGATAGTTGAAAATAACCAATCACAACGTGTTAACAAACAAGGAACCTGCAAAGACTCATGGGTAATCGGCATTGCCAAATGGCTTATATTGCCAATAAAAGTGTATTCTTTAGATTTGAATAAAACATGAGGCTCTGACAGGGTAAATGTTTTTAAGTCTTCATGAAATTCACTGTGTATCTAATATATTAGTTACTGTTGCGAGTTTATTTAGTTAAAACTTGTATATACTGTAAAATACTTTATTTTCACTTGGGATTTATTTTCGTGAAAATAAATTCCAGTGAATATAATACATATTCAACTTATCGAAAATCAGTGAAAATAAACTCCAAAAAGTCTTTGCAGCGAAAAGTAATTCCAGCTAAAATAATGTATTTTACAGTAGTGTGTATTTATTTTTAAAATTAGCAGATTGGATTAACATTGGATTAGATATAATGTACATCACTGTGTGCACAAGACAAAATGCACATTTATATGAATATTTATACTATTATTATAAGTTGTACCTTTTACTTGTTTTATTCCAGGGAGTTATTTCTAATATAATATTTTTTTTTATAATACATTATAATACAAAAACTGCATGTACACGTAGGGTTTAACTAATATAGTGTCTGCTATCTACCACCTTGAAAGAATACTGTATTTGCTTTAATAGTAGTGCATACATGGTCAAAATAAGTCGTATTGTAACAATCCAGCATACAATAAATGCAATTGTTGGTGTATTTGTGCTTTTATTGAAGATGTACCTCTAATAAAGCAAATAGGGTATTTGTAACACCACAGTCAGTCACACCACTGTTTCAATTGTTGTATAGGCTATCGCACTGTGACATCATTTGTTTATATTTTTGCTAACTGATAACAAATATCGCTCAATGATGAGCACTACCTGCGACATTGTTGCCTATAAGTTGTTTTATTAACTGGAACACGTACATTTATATTTAATAATAGAAGCAGTGAACAATGCCATTATTTTATTTTGAGGTTCGAACAAGTGATTTTTGCCAACCAGTTACTCTGCATGTTAGACTGTCGACAGTCCTCGGGCCTAATGTAATTGTGTTTCCTAGACACTCGTACGCCGAAATACATTTTTGCGAGGGACTTTACTTCTTGTCCCGACATTCACAATTTATTCACACCTATTAGGTTTATACACAATATTTAATAATAATAACATATTAATATTAGGTACGACCGACTGTCGATAGTCTATGCGCATGTGTACAAAACATAAAAGTGCAATGACCTATAAGCTGCGTGGGACCCGCATCAAACATGATGTGATGTGACGACTGACGCTTGTGTATGGTATTAATAGTGTGAATGACTTTCTAATAATTAATGATTTCCGCATTTGTTTCGCAGGATTGACATTGCTTACACAAGCAGCCTCAGACTACAAATTCATTCATTAATAACATATCCACTGAAGTTGCAGTTTTGCAGATATTTTTCGACTGGTAAATAAGGCTAAGCTTCTCCGTAACGATACCATATTTGCTCTGTTAGTAGTGAATGTACTTACCGATAAGTAAATGATAGAGATGTGTAACTGCTTAACCAAAGTCGCATTTTATTTATCCAGTACGGTATTCTATAAATGCAATTTTTGTTCCAGCTCTGCTTCTATTGGAGCAAATATGGTGTCATAATTTCGATGATGTCAGTTTGTAATAGTGCACTTTGATTTATTTTAATCTTTGTCTGGTTTGCTAGTAGGTTTTCTTATAACTATTGATTGTTAAAAGTAATATTCACAAAATAAGTGTTGATCTAAACCTAAAATGTTAATATATTAATACTAAAATATTGATCTAGAAGTAGGTTTTACTGGATGGCTTTTTTGAGCATCTTTAAAACATTCATTGTTATTTGAACTGAAATACTTATGAACCATGTTTGTGTAATAGACAATTTTCGAGTTCTCGCCTTTACCTTTGATTTGGCCGTGTAAATGCTTGATAGCTCATCAGAATAAGGGAAACAAGCGAAAATAGAAATAAACCGACCATTCTTGCACGGAAACCAACTGTTGGCGCTACAACTCAAAACTTGTCTATTATCTTTGTAAAGATGGATAATAATATCACAAGAATACACTTTAGTATGCACTCTGGTAGTGCATACTTTGCAGTATTATTGTGATGACCTATCCACATCATTATTTTAGTAAATTGTCATTCAAAAAATTCTGCAAGTATATACCGCAAAGGTTTATTGTTTTATGATATTATGTGTTTATTCTATATCAATTATCAGGAGCAAGACGTGACATTCTTTTTTTGTCACATTATTTATACATGGATTATAATCATCAGGGTCTTGTGTTTGTCATTGTTTATCATTGTTTTGGGTTTTTTTAGATCTCTGAGGGACTAAAAAATTTATTAGTCCCTGTCAGACAAAATCCAAAAGTGGGGGATTAGCGTTTTGGGTTCAGTGTGGCCGTCAGTGCATACATCTATCGTCATTTCTCAGGCATGTCTGATCCGGTTTTGTACAAAGAAAAGTCGTACGGTTGACCTTGACTGAGTAGAAGCCATTTTTGACCCAAAATCAACATCTGAACATGTCATCAACATTTCTCAAGCATGCCTCATTATATTCAAATTTGGTATTGACTTCACTCATGGTGGGCTGCAAATGAATCTCAGTTTTGTTTTGTGATTTAATATAAATTTGCAGACTGGCATTATTAGCGTTTAGGTTATTTCTCTGTCATACTTTAAATGATTTTATTGAAAGTAGGTACATGTATAAACATGTCACTATTTTGCCCCCCCCCAATAAAAACATCCAACATAGTCTTATTTCATTCAATTTTGGCATCAACTTTGCAAATGTTGGGTTTATTTTTATGTATTCTCAACTATTTCTTGGACATGCTTTGCTCAATTTTGTTGATGGTAGTAAGTACAAAAATAATGGTATATCTAGGCACGTTGATTTGTTTTGCATTTTAATTAATTTTTTTGTTCCCCAGGCATAATACACGTTTTCTGTGATTGGATTCAAAATGCCCAACTGTTTTTTTTTTTGTGTATTATACAATTGTTTGCAATATGAGAATGACCTTATTGCTAGGAGGTGTTACTTTGACTGAACAATGGCGCCATTTGAAGTAACACAGTATTTTTAACATGCTGAATACTACCCTAACATTTATTTCGAATCAGTCACTAAAATCATTATGATAATGAATTGTTCATATATGTGGTACCATACATGTTTGCTCAATTTTAAAGCACATTGTTTTCTTGCAGCATGTGGTTGAATCATGTAAAATATGTATTTTATGTGGATTTTATACATCACGATGGACCAATATAACTTATTATGTCATACTCGTACATAACCAACAAATTTTCATCTATTACATTGCATTTCTTAAAACATCTTATACTTCTATTATTCCCACAAAGGGACCACAACTTCAGTGAATCTAGATTTTATACATACCCTATATAAATTGTCTACACAATTGTAGGTCATTTAATCCATGGTAATGAATATTTACATAATTAATTTTATTTTGTTTACTAATTCTCATCATAAAGTAGGTAATTGACATTATGTACTGTCTATACATGTTCTATATATCTTTCTAGTTCAAAGGATTATTGATATTTTACATAGTCAATTGTAGTTTCAGGTGTAAGCAGTATTCTGTCTGATTTGTAATGTAATTTGTTGGTTCAAATTGTGTATTGTCACTGGCAAGTACAAATTATAATAATCTTATGAAAACCTTGCGTTACCGATGAGTTTATGAACTTGGACAAACAATATGGCGATTGTGTCAAAGATTTGATTTTATACTTGTAGCATGGGAACCTGCAATTGATTATACTTGCTGGCTATGATACTAATGGAATTTTTTTCTTTCTATTTTTAAACTGAGTGTTATTTACAAATCTTGAGAGTATCTGCCATTAGGGGAGTTTTGTGAAAGATTACTTTGGTGATTATTTACGTTTGTGTGAACCCCTTCAGAAACCTGTATGCAATTTTAGTCATATTCTTATATTAAAATCAGATTTTACTTCAATGGTTCACGACTAGTTTCTGTTGGTGTGTATGTATCTGTTGTCTCATGATATATTTAGTCATGACCCATTTGTTTATTTCTGCTTAGCCATGTTTGTTTTTATGCAGATTTATAGTGAACTGCTACAATTCACTACGTTTAATTACCCACCATAGACTCCGGTCAGTCAAAATGACTATTTTGGAATGCATTAATCTGTGATTCAGCCAATGGTGGAGAGAAAAATCAGTCAGGGGAAGCCACATGATCTCAAGATTTCTCTTCATGTTACGAACCAAGTGACCAAGGCAATGAGGCGACGCCAGGCTTCTGATTTCCGAGGGGACCAAGCAGGGCAGGACATGGGGGTTTTGTACCCTCCCCCTGCACTCTGCCAGCCAGGGAAAGTCTGTCGGACCCTTGACAAGAGATTAATTTTTTCCTCCGTCCTGCCTCCACTACGGGTCACTCCTTCTTCGAGGCCCCCAGAGGGAACCTGCCCAGCCATCAGAGGGATATCTGATTCGGCGGGTGCAACCTCAGAGTTTGTTCCTTGTAACAACTCCGTGAGCCACACCGTGGGGTGATGT